CGGCGCGGGGACAGAGAGGGGACGGGCCCGCCGCCCGCGGGAAGGCCCTGCCTTGGCGCTGAGCCTAGGCAGCTGGGTGACGGTCTGCCTGAAGGCCTTTGTGACCGCCACCCTTCAAGCCCCCGAAGAGTGCCTCCAGTTTGGGACACCGTTTCTTTTAAGTTTTCGAAAGAGAGGATCTCAACATGTTCCAGAGAAGTAGCCGGAACACGACGAGCCTCGGGAGCCACATTCTCATCTCACGGGAGCAAGAAACAACTTTGTCGGCCCACCTTGGTGGGGCATGGGATGGGGGAGGGGGACGCCCCCTTCCTGAGGCTTTCACGGAGCGACCCTGGTAGGACCCCTCCCGTGCCTTGGCCCTGTCCAGAGGCCATCAGAGGACAGGCGGTCTCTACTGCCCCACCAGGCCCCAGGCTCCAGGCCCCACTTACCCGAAGGAGGAAGCCATCTGGGCAGGTGAACTGGTCATACCAGATGGCCTTGTACATGATCAGGACGCAGCCCAGAAGCGCCATGACAAAGGCGATCATCCGCGCTGTGGGCAGCTGCCAGGAGGGAGGAGGAGGAGGAGCTGTTAGTGGCCAGCAACTTGCAGCTGAGCACAGGACTGCCCTCCCCCCGGGTCTTGGTGCCCAGTCCCCACTCCAGGCAGTCAAAACTGTTCTGGAAGGTCAGCACCAGGGTCAAGTGTCCAGGCACCACCCCTCGGGTCCAGGCTCCTCCACTGGGATTCTTGAAACATCTGCCACCCGGTAAAGTGCATGTGACCTTTGACCCAGCAGGTGCTTGTAGGAATTTGCAGTTTCCCTGCCTACGTGGGCACTGCACAGCAGTTGGACACTAGAAGCCATCTGGACACTAGAAACCCAAGGAACTCCTGGCCACCCCGGCAGACTCTGGGGGCAGGGGGGCTTCTATTGCAGAAAAATGAGGGAGAGTAGAAAATGAGCAAAGATATTTGTCGAACACACTGCAGAAAGTGTTAGTACCCGTATTACACAGAAAGCCTACAAGTCACTAAAGAAAAACAGTGACCCTTTGGGAAAATGGGCCAGCAGCACAAACTGGTGCTTCACTTGAAGAGAAACACATTGCAGGAGCTCAACTTCCTCACAGCCTGGAGAGCGGTGTGGCACAGGACACAATGGTCAGCCCTGCAAGGGGGACGCACTGTACCACTCTCCTTTGACAGCAGGAGCTGGAGCAAGGGGATCCCAGCTCGGCCTGGCCAGAGCCTGGACACCCTGGTTGGCGGCCGCCTTCCACCTTCTTCCTCTGCCTGAGTCCCCACTGCGGGATGGGGTGGGTGTGACTACCCTGCGCCCTTCCTCTGGGTGGCCGAAGTTCAGGCGCTGGCCCTCCAGGTCAGTGAAATTCTTCAGCTGGTCTGGAGAGGACAACTGGTATTCCGTCTGGGTCTTGATGACCACCTGTGAAAAGAAACGGTCATGGCCTCACTGGGAAGTGGACAAGGACCCAGGAGAGCTCTGAACTGAGAGGGAGGAAGCCGGGGTGTGCCGCGGGGCCGTGGTGTGGACGCGGACTGTCTGCCAGGGTGGCAGAGCTCCAGCAGCCACGAGTGAGGCCAAGGGAGAGTGAGTGCTGCGAGTCTGCCGGGGGCACCCGGCCCTGGAGTCTGGCCAGCCCCTGATGGAGCAGCTCCCCCTGCCAGCCTCCTTCGCCTCGGAGAGCGCCAGCTCTCCCTGCCAGCAGCTTCCCCTTTGGTGGCTCCAAAGCTTGGGCTCCTTCTCCAGGAAGCTGCCCTGACTTCTTTGCTGGCTTCGAGTCTTGAGGCCCGGACCACATGGGCACAGGCAGGGACGGTTCTGTGTTCTGTGTGTGCTCTCAAAAAACTCCGCCCTCCAAGGCAGCCATGTCACAGGTGCAGTGGGAGCCCACACAGATGGCTGGAGAATTGCCCTCGACCAACAGGAGTGTTAACACTTGGAAGATCCCCCTGTCCTACCCCAGTCAATAGCTGGCTGGTGTGGGCACAGATGCCACCCTCTTGCCTCCAGCTGGGACAAGTCTGGGTGCTTTTCAAGCTCCAGAGCTCTCTGGCATCAGGCTGGGCCAGGCCTGAGCTGAGCTCTTTGCTTCTCACCAGTTTCCACTGAGAGCTCCCCCTCCCTTGGTCACATGCCCATGACCCCCATCGCAGGCCTGCCCCAAGACAGAGCAGTGCCTAGCAGGGAAAGGGTGGGGATTGTTGCTTGCTGAGCCCTGGATAGATGACACACGGGCTGGAAGATGTCTACAGGTTAGTGCATGAATCCTTGGTCATCCTGCAGCCAGTTTGCCCCTGTCTATATCAGAAAGGAGGCTCCAAGAGCTATAGGAGCTGATCAGGTCAAACGGAGTACCCATGGCTGGCTGGGGTTTCAGCCCTGCACAACTACACCTAGGAGAAAGTCACATCTAAATAAACCTCACCCCGCCGCCCCCTTGATCTCAGGGGAGCGTGAGAAATACCCACCATGCTGGCTCAGGCCCCTCACCTGGTCGGTGAACGGTGGCTGGAGCTGGCTGACATCCAGGGGGCTGATCAGAGGCACACCGTCCATGGCAGCCCCAACTTGGATCCCTGGCTCTTTGCCTGGTTTCACAGAGAAGCTGCAGCCCAGCTTCACCATGGTGGATGGCAGTCTTTGTTCTGTCCAGAGATAGAAACAGGGTCACGCCCTCAGGCCCCACCATGGATGACCATGCATGTGAATCTTCTTGCCTTTAAGATTAGGAAGAAACCGGGCTCCGTGGCTCAGCCTGCAATACCGCGCCTTTGGGAGGCTGAGGTGAGTGGATTGCCTGAGCCCGTGGGTTCGAGACCCACCTGGGCAGGCGAGACCTCATCTCTACAATAAATAAATAAAAAAATAGCCGGGTGTGGTAGCGCATGGCTGTAGTTCCAGCTACTTGGAAGGCTGAGGCGGAAGGACCGCCGGAGCCCAGCGGGTCGAGGCTGCGGTGGCTGGGAGCGGCCACTGCACTCCAGTCTGGGTGACAGAGTGAGACACCAACTCAAAAAAAAAAGATTAGGAAGGAGACAAAAATGCCTTTGATCATATGTTCTATAGATTGTGGTGCTGGAAGTCTAAGCCAATGTTACAGGGCAGAAAAAAAGAAATAGCCATAGGGCTGAAATACTGTTTGTAAAAAATCCAAGTCATCTGAGGATAAATTGTAAGGATTGAAAAGTGACTTCAGTAAGGTTGCTGGATTTAAGTTATTCACAAATCAATTATATGTCTATATGTCAGTGGTAGAAAATTAAACAAATAATGTATGAAAGATTCCAGTTAGGTCACCATGTTTCCTAGCTTTGGACCCCTCCCCTACCTTGGGGAGGTAAATCTTCTCTCTCTCCAATTTACTTTTTAAATAAACTGTATTTTCCAATCTAAAAAAAAGATTCCATTTAAATAAGATCCAGATGTTCAGGAACAGGTGTGACAAGAGATGAGCAGGACCTCCACGTGGCAAGCCAGGAAGCACTTCTGTTGGAGACCAAAGAAGGGCTAAATCCCGCCAGGAAATAGGGAAGAGTATGGCCATGGATTTTGGAAGTCTACATGTTTAAACATGTTATACTCCCTCCCCAGTGTATCTGCAGAATCAATAGATCTTAATCAAACTCCCAATAGAATTTTTTAGAGGAGTTTGATGAGCATCGTCATTTGATATGGATGGCAGAAGGACAAGAAGCACAAGATATTCTGGAAAAGAATGAGGAGGTCTCAGCTGCCAGGTGTCTGGCGTGTTATGCAGCAGAAAAAATTGAGTGACATGGTGTTGCTGTGTGGTAGAAAAAGTTCCATGTGACACACTCTACACACACAGACCTTGGATTTACAACCAAGACACCACTGCATAGCAGGAAGGATGGTCGCCTTTTTTTTTTGAGTAGGAGTCTCTGTCACCCAGGCTGGAGTGCAGTGGCAAGTTTATGGCCACCACAGCCTCAACCTGCTGGGTTTAGGTGATCCTTCCACCTCAGCCTTCCAAGTAGCTGGAACCACAGACATGTGACACCACACCCGGCTGGTTTTTTTTTGTTGTTGTTTTGTTTTTTTTGTAGAGATGAAGTCTCACCATGTTGCTCAGGCTGGTCTGGAACCCCTGAGCTCAGGTAATCCTCCCGCCTCTGCCTCCCAAAGTGCTGGGATTAAAGGCATGAACCACTGCTCTCAGCTGGATGGCCACCCTTCAATACACCATTGTCCACACTGCAAACAGTGAATCTAATTCCTACCTCACGATATACACAGAAATCCGCTCTAGGTGGATATTCCTGAATTGAAAGAGCAAACAAGAAAGCATCTCTAAAACAATAGTGAAGGGTTTTCTGGTCTCAGGGAGGGAAATATTTCATCAATAAGACAAATAAGCACTAACCATAAAAATAAAATATTGATAAAATTACTTCATGAAAATTAAGAATGTCTGCTCATCAAAACAGCCTTTGGTCGGGCACAGTGGCTCACGCCTATAATCCCAGCACTCTGGGAGGCTGAGGTGAGAGGATTGCCTGAGCCCACAGGTTTGAGACCATCCTCAGCAACTTGGTGAGCCCTCATCTCTCCAATAAATAAAAAATTAGCTGGGCATGGTGGCGCAGGCCTGTAGTTCCAGCTATTTGGAAGACTGAGGCAGAAGGAACACCTGAGTCCAGCAGGCAGAGGCTGTGGTGGCTGTGAGCATGCTACTGCACGCCAGCCTGGGAGACACAGTGAGACTCCAATTCAAAAAAAAAACAAAAAACAGACTTCAAGCCAAGTGCAGTGGCTCACAACTGTCATCCCAGCATTTTGGGAGGCAGAAGTGAGAGGATTACCTGATCCCAGGGGTTCGAGATCAGCCTGGGCAACTTGGCAAGACCTTGTCTCTACAATAAATAAATAAATAAATTAGCCAGGCATGGTGGCGTGCGCCTGTGGTTCCAGCTACTTGGAAGGCTGAGGTGGAAGGGTTGCCTGAGCCCAGCAGGTTGAGGCTGTGGCGGTCGTGAGCAAGCTACTGCACTCCAGCGTGGGTGACAGAGTGAGACTTTAGCTCACAGAACAAAAACAAACAAAAATAGCCTTCAAAGAACGGGAAAAGAACCAAGACTGGAGGAAGATATATGCAGCTCACAGATGAAGAAGGGCCTATTGTGGGTTGAATGGTGTTCCTCCCAAAGATATGTCCAAACCTAATCTCTGGTACCTGTGAACCTGATCCCTTTTGGAAACAGGGTCTTTGTAGAAGTAATCAAGTTAGAAGGAACCCATCCTGGATTAGGGTGAGCCCAAATCCAATGACTTATTAGAAAAGGGAAGTTTGGGCATTGCCTTGCTAAGCTCTGGTCTGGCCACATGGCTTTTTGAGCTATGGCTGTTACATTTTCCTAAGCCTCGGCCCCTTCCCCTGCCTTGGGGAGGTGAATCTTCTCCCTCGCTCTCATTTATTTTCTAAACAAACTCTAATTTCCAATCTTAAAAAAAAAGAAAAGGGGAGTTTGGACACCGAAGAATGCTGTCTGTGAGTGGAGGCACAGATTGGAGTGGAGCAGTCACAGTCCAAGGACCACCTAGGGCTGCCAGCAGCTGAAAGCAGCCGGGAAGACTGTTCCCCTGGAGGCCTGGGAGGTGCGTGGCCCTGCACCAAGACACCTGGATTTGGGTCTTTTTGCCTCCAGGACTGTGAGAGAAGGCGTTTCTCTTGTTTCTGTTTTGTTTTGTGGTTGAGTCGGAATCTCACTCCGTCGCCCAGACTGGAGTGCAGTGGCCGCTCCCGGCCACCGCAGCCTCGACCCGCTGGGCTCTGGCGATCCCTCCGCTTCAGCCTTCCGAGTAGCCGGAACTACAGGCACGCGCTACCACGCCCAGCTGATTTTTTGATTTATTGTAGAGATGAGGTCTCGCCAAGTTGCCCAGGCGGGTCTCGAACCCGCGGGCTCAGGCAAGCCACTCACCTCAGCCTCCCAAGGCGCGGGATTACAGGCTGAGCCGCCGAGCCCGGCTATTTCTCTTGTTTTAAGCAACCCAGTTGTGGTAGTTTATGACAGCAGCCACAGGAAGGGCAGGTGCCCACCAGACTCACAGGTGACCAATCTTTCTTGTCCTGCAGTGCCCAGGCCCTGCTCTGGGGGGTCCAGGTGTGGCCAGGACCCACAGGATCAGAAGCAGGAGACTCCCTATCACAGAGCTCCTGCCCAGGGGCTGTCCAGTGAATAAACAGATGATAAAGATCTGTGTGTAGAATATGTGACCTACACGTGTGAGGGAGGCTCTGCATAAGATAGGATGCGAGTGTGGGAGGAATGATCTGTGGGTGGCAGTATCTGCGTGTGGGAGGATCTGTCTGTGGGAGAATCTCCGTGTGGGAGGAAGAATCTGTGGGAAGGAGTACCTGCATGTGGGAGCATCTGTGTGTGAAGCAGCTACGCAGGAAAGGGAGGGCTGGGTAGGGGTGGGAGAAGGGGTAGAAGTAGCTTAGCCAAGGGCCAAGAGGTGCCCCCACCCTGGACTCAGCCAAGCCTCTCCAGGGGGAGAGTCCGCTCAAGACCCTGAGCGTCCCGCCCTTCCTTCCATGTTTGTTTACTGCAGGCGACTCTGTGCCTGGCTGGGCCCTTCCAGAAGGGGCCCTGCAAAGTGTCCCTCTCCCAGGCTATCCCCAGGCTTGGAGGCTCTTCCTGAGGTAAGTCCAGGGGCGCAACAGGCCCCAGGCAGTGGGCCACTGGTGACTCATCGGATGAGGCTTCACAATGCAGGTGTTCTTCACACAGACTGTACCGCCTGAAGGGGCACCAGTCCTGCTGCGGAGCCGGAGATGGATGACAGGCCGTCGCTGTCGAGTACAGATACACAAGGGATCACGTGGAAGCAGAAGGCGGGCAGGGAAAGGGCTGGGAAGGGAGGGGCAGACTGGAGAACCGGAGGGACGTGGCTGGTGGCCCCCGCAGGAAAAGCTGGGCGTGCTGGGGCTTGGGGCAGAGCTGGGCCTGTGAGGGTGACACGGAGGAGGAGCAAACCCTGCCTCCCCAGAGGAGAGAGTGGATGAGGGCGAGGGTGGGGCGTGTCCTCCTCTCAAACCAGCCATCTCACGGGTAGGGGCTACGTCTGCTGGAAAGCCCCCCTAATGTGTCTCCCCTCACCCCAGTAGGCAAGAGGCCCTTCTGAGGAGCTGCACCTCTGGGGTCCCCTCTGAATGGGAGGCAAACGCTGACTCCTCCCACTTGGAATGATGGGCATCTTCGCAGGTTTCCATGGCACCTACATCTTCGCAGGTTTCCATGGCAACAGAGACAGGCTCCCCCCCCCCCCCCCTCCCCCGCAAGATGCGTCTTCAAGAAGAAAAGGAGCAATTTGGGGCCCACTGCACACTCGGATCTGGTCCCAGGTCAGTGCCCCAGGCAGAATGCAGCAGGCAGGGCTGCCTTGGCTGTGTACGGGACCCATCCCCCCCATGCACGCACGCAGAACATTTCTTCCTGTCTTTGAGTCACAGGGACGCGCTGGGAAGGCAGGCTGGGCTCATTCACAGGACACCGGGCTCCTGAGAACTGGGGGGAGGGCGAGCGGGGG